CACTGGGTGAATCCCCGTGGACCTCCCGTTCCTCCACTCACAGATGTCTTGCGGTTTCTGGATAAGTTTAAGAGGGCGTCTCAGGGCAAGCTAATTTTTTAATTCGGGGCTCGTAATGAGGATCAACTGTCAATTGCAGCATTGGAGAGTGGACTAGAGTCATCTGATGCTGAAGACTCTGCTGAGCCCTCAACTTCAGGTGCAGCAGCTCAGTCTGAGGCCGACATGGAAATGGCAGCCATGCTTGCCCAGGCAGCCAAAAGCATCCAGCACGAGTGGATTCCTCCACCCTGCCCTGAGCGCTCGTGGCTTGATGATTGGTTCTTGGGGTGAGCACGATGCACAGCCACGGCCGCGAGATGAACATGGTACCGTGGCACATATCACATGACCACCATGCACAGACAGACCTTTTGACGTTTCTGCAGGCAGGTTTTCCCCTTGAACAGGTGTCTAGACACATCATAGTAACAACAGAAGCCACAGATGGGACAGATGGGACCCACAGAGATTTGGTATTGGATCAGTGCTTTCCTTCCTCCAAGAGGGCCTGGACAGGCACCTGTCTCCATCCACCTTAAAAGTGTGGCTGCAATAGTAGCAAACCACGACACTGTGGATGGGAGATCAGTATGAAAGTACAATCTTACTATGAGATTACCCTAAGAGGTGCGCAGAGATTAAATCCTCCAAGAACACACCTCATCCCCTCTTGGGATCTCTCGGTGGTCTCACAGGCCCTACAGGGTAGGGTTGGATACCGAACTCTGTACTTTTAAGGGTACCGACCGAATTGCGTCGGTACTACCGAGTACCGATTCACGTTAAATCAATCGGTGCCAAATTTCGGTACCTGAGAACGCATCTGGGCGCATATGATACAGAGAGAGAAAGAGAGACCCTGTGACATGAGGTCAGAGCAAGCCGAAATGTTCTGAAGTGTGGTTACATTTCTAGGGCCATACGGTTTCTGCGAAAACGTGGACGGGATCGTGGAGTCCATTCATAAAAACGTAATTTACTCTATAGCGTGGAATTCGTCAATTTTTGGACAAATAAATCAAAAGTAGCCACTGTCTGCCACTTAATTCGAATCGCGATTAGAACTAGTGTCTGTGAAAATTAAAATGCAAAAAGAAGGTTTAAATATGAATCCTGCATGTTCCGCTTGCCTCTGTATGTATGAATGGCAGAAACACGGTTTAGATTTTACTACACAAATACTGAAGCACGCATGACGCTCGCGGTGATTTCTGGCCTCTGCGTCTCACTATATGACGGCATGAACACAAAAACATAATCTCCAGAGCTCCAGAGAATTTTACCATTTCATTTGAGAAAACTAGCATCATCATACTGTATACACACAGAAACTTCATGGCAACCTGTCAAAATAAAGTACGGTTTAACATGTAACAGAAATATATTACTCTGTATTACTTTTGTACAGTATAATGTACATCTTTAAATATTCCATTTTCTATCAAACTTAAAACAATTACATTATAAAAATAAATATTACAACCAGATGAATCACTTAATTGTAGAAAAAAATACAATTATTAGCCTATTAAAAAATGTTTTAAAGGAATATTCACACAATTTTTCTTCCATGTATTAATTTCAACAGTAAACCTCAGTTTGCTTGCCAAAAAATAAAAGGGTTTAATTTTCATTTGATTTAAAATAAATGTTTAATGCCTTCATTTCATTTTCAGAAAAATTAAAACAAGAATTTCTGGGGGGAAAAAAAAGGAAGGAAAGAAAAAGTTTGTAGGGCCCTTTTGTTCAAAATGTTGAAATTGAGACTTTTGGACTTATTTTTTCACTGAAATAAATGTTTTTGTAATTACACAGAGAGTAAAGGTATACCGAAAAAAGGCACCGTTGGGTACCGGCACCGAAATTCAGGTACCGATACCGGTACCGTACCAGTTAAAATGTGAACGGTACCCAACCCTACTACAGGGAGATCCGTTTGAGCCTTTACAGTGCCCTTTCCATGAAGATATATCTGGTTCCCACACAAGAGTTTCAGGTAATCTGAACAGCTCTTTGTCTGCTTTTGAGGACAGCAGAAGGAGAAGGCTGTCTCCAAACAGAGAATATACCACAGAATTGTGCATGCAATTCTCCTGGCATATCAAGTCGAGCTTTACCACACTCCATAAGAGTGAGGGTGCACTCGACCAGGGGCATTGCTGCCTGTTCGGCCTTAGCAAATGGTGTCTTGTTAGCATACTGTACATACTGTAGAGCTGCAGGCTGGGCTACATCTAATACCATCACCAGATTATATAATCTGTGCAGGAAACCAGTCTCATCAAGAGATCTGAGTACCAACAGATGAACCCAGATAACCGGTAGGGTGTACAGCTTGCATTCAGTGCCTTTCCCCTCTCTGAGCTGATAATGTGTGCTGATCAGGTCCTGTTTTTTAGTTTCCCTTGAGTGGTGAACCCCGAATACTTCAGAGGTGTTTGGGCTCCCAAGAGTGACCCTTAGTGTTGGAACTGACACAATGTTTCTGTTCCCTCCATCAGGGAAGACGAGACTGAGACGTTTTTCCTCCATACTATGGAAGTCAATGGCTACCAGTAATTGGTTACCAACATGCTTCAAAATATTATCTTTTGTGTTCAACAGGAGGAGGAAACTTATACAGGTTTGGAACAACTTGATGGTGAGTAAATGACAGAATTTTCATTCCCATTCACTTGAAGGTCTAAGTGAACCCCAAAAAATGCTTGGTTATTGACAAACATTACGCCACGGACATGAGAAGCCACCTCACCAACCTGCTCCGAAATTCTCATCACATATACTTGTAAACCAATCAGATAATATTAATATAAATTGTATTTAATTTAGACAAACCATATATCATTAGAAGTATTAAAGACTATGCAATATTTAAACACTGCTTATGATTATGGTTAGTGACTGTATTTTCCTTTTTTTTTTTTTTAATTACTGTAAAGACTACACATCAAACATGCCAAACCAAACCTACTGATAGGACATACAAGCGCATAAATGTACAAGCACATATGCGGTTTTATTTTTGCTAATTTTAATAAAACAAATGCACATGGAGAAATATTGATGGATTCCCATGTTTACTTCATACTTCTTTTGAAAGAATTGTTATTTCTATTAATTTTCCACTAAATTATGTGATCTGATAAATGTGTTTCTGTTCCGGGTCGAATGACTCCCAGACAGATGATTCGCTGATCTGTCACATTACGTGGTCATAATACCCTTCTATGATGAAATCCTGTAAACTTCCGCATTCCGTCTTTGTACATAACTAACATAAAGAAACATATTGTACATACTGTACAGCTAAAACATGAAGCTAAAAAATATATGATCATGGGTTTGTATGTGTGTGTGTGGGTTTTTTTTTTTGGATGCATTTTTATATGTAAAAGGATGTTTATATGAGAAATGCTAAGCTTGATACAAAAATTTACAAATGTAGCAAATTAGCTCAAAAGAGAAATGTATATAAATAATTACAATTAATTACGATTAATTACAATTATTTATATGAGCTGCCAGTAGTAACTGTAGCAGAATTAAATTGCCATCAACTAATCTGTTCGGCCAGCAAACATTTAGTGTAATTTCATATCAACTCTAAGAAAGGATATTTTCGTGGCCACAGAAAACAACCTTCTTACATTAGCCTAATAATGCATTAGAGCATGTAGCAAGGATCAAAATTGTAAAGGGACATTAATTTGCAAGGCAGAATCAGAAACTCATGTAATTTGTGCACAAGAGTTTTATTAACTAAACACTAACACAAACTAGTCTAACAAACAAACAAACAATCACTCATACATGGGAAAGGGCAAATGAAACTGGATGGATGAAACCATCAGGAAAACCAGAGAATGAAGCTATGAAAAGAGTCAGTTAACCACCTGAGTAAAACCATCAGCGCCATTTTAGAATGGGGTCTACAGCTTATACTAAACCTCTGTTTCGTTTAGTTAAATGTACGATACTTGCATTGCCTTGGCCTTGAACAAGCGTCCGGATGCAGTCTCAGATGAAAGTCTTGATGGTTTGGAGGTTCGGTGGTGTAGGAGTCGCGACCACGTTCTTCTGGGTTTGAAGAGTGATGAACTCCAAAAAGATGTTATTCTGACTCTGTCATGGTCGATTGAGTTTTCTCCCAGATGAAGGTGATGAAGAGCTAAGAGAGACATCGGCTGAGATCCAAGGATCGTTGGTGAATGTAAAGACAAGGCCGAAGCCTGGCGCAGACATAAGGGTTGCAGAAGAGTTTCTAGCTCACATCCTCATCTTCTCAGAAACTAACAGAACCGCAGACTGCAGGCCGGTCACTAATGTGAGGCCTTTATCTTCTATCGCGGTCACTCCTCTGGGATTTGAGTGAGCCAATGAGGAATGATAACTTCGGGGGGAAATTTTACAACTCTTTGTCTCAGAGCATGGTATTTTGCATATGTAATTCGATTGGGTGTTGATGCAAAAACTACTAAAGATTCTTAGAACAATGTGTGTTCATTTAAAGAAAGGTTTGTCTATGAATTAATTAGAGAACAGTCAATTTCTCTGGGCATTATGTGTCTTTCCTATGAGGAAAATGAGAAATATATTTCTGACTCATTTCATGATGAATCCACTTTGCAATCAGAAGTTATTGGAAATACTTTTTGGTGTTTTAAAGTAAGATTTGAGCAAAAATAACAATGTTAATGTCATAAATTGTCATGTGTAGCTTTATAGGAATGCTCCGATCAGGATTTTTGCAGCCGATACTGAGTACCGATTTCTTGTCATGGTGATCGGCCGATACCGATACCGATTCTGATGCTTCAAGCTTTAGAGGTTTCATCGGGCGCACGCGCCTCGCCCCAAGTTAACTTCCGGTCTGTGTTTGTTTATCAGTCTGGCCATGGCGCCAGCTACAAACGCAAGAGTTAAAGTTAAGGTGATGAGTAGACTGATGTTGGGCTCAGGTGGTTGTGCTGTGGGATGTGTTTCCCATACATTTATTTATTTGTGGCGCTTGCCACAATATCAAAACTGACGGATTTTCAAAAAGTCTTTGTTGAATAAACATGAGAACGTACTGCACGTTTAAAAATCAAAACGAGGCGCGAGCTCGTTTGTGAGCTCAGCGCTGCTTTGTACAGCTGTTACCGGGGAAACCTCTGCTTCTCCCGCTTTAAAGAACCTCCTGCTGGCAGAGAATTAATTTGCATTTTCAGTAATTCCGTCTGATTTATGCTCCAAACATATTTTGCTTTTCCTATATCCACGGGTCGGGTAATAAAAAATGCATTCTGATTACTTGCGGGTGGGTCGCGGGTAGGGATATGCCGGTATCAAATTTTCATGTTGCGATTAATTGCTAATGCTTTTATCATGGTATGCGGTATACCACAATATCAAAACTGACGGATTTTCCAAAAGGCTTGGTTGAATAAACATGAGCAGGTACTGCACGTTTAAAAATCAAAACGAGGCGCGGGTGTTTTTATATCACTGTATTTCAGAAGGAAGACTAACTTTAGAAAGTTTTCGATGTCATTTTCATTTCATCTTGCATGTTATTTATATGCCTGATAAAGCAGCGTTTGTGAGCTCAGCGCTGCTGTGTGTACAGCCGTTACTGGGGAAACCTCTGTTTCTCCTGCTTTAAAGCACCTCCTGCTGGAAGAGAATGAATTTGCATTATTGCGCTGTGGATAATCCGCGGGTCAGGTAATAAAAAATGCATTCTGATTATTTGCGGGTGGGTCATGGGTGGATAAAATAAATCATAAATGATGCAAATATTAACTACATTTTTTTACAATACATTTTTTTAATGAGGCAGACGATTTCGTGTGTGTGTGTGTGTGTGTTCGTTCGACTGATCGGGAAGTTGCAGTGACAGAAGCTGA